ATAGCTTAGCTTTTCGGGAGAAGTCAACTGGCTGCATTCATAAATCGAGCGCAGAAGTTGGAGCTGCTTCCCTCGTTGCCAGCTCGAGTAGCACACTTGTCTGGTTTCAGCCCTTCTGATTGACAATTCTTAGTCTGGTAACTTTTGCCATTTCACTTGATTCTTGCAGTCGTCCTATCTCTGGCAGCATTCCGCATGTCACCAAAGTCCGTTGCACATCCGTTGTTCACAGTAGCGGTCTTCAAGACTATACCATTATAAGTTAAATGACATTAAAGTATGAGAACTTTAAAATGTATCTAACTAGATGCTCAGGTGAGTCGTCGTGGCGTTGGCGACTAGATGCCCGCAGCAAATCGGAAGGTCGTGGGTTCGTGACCTGACGTAGCCGGTAATTTTTCAGAAATTATTTTAACTCTCAGGTCGATCCATCCTTGAATGGGTACCAGGTGCAGTCCTGGAAAGTAAGGCGGCCGGCGTAATGCTGACCATGTCACACACCAAGTGCCGATTGGTCTATAAAAAGATGTAGGTCTAGCCCTTTATTCCCAGTATGCCTAAAGGCGGGGGAAAGGGAATTTTGCTTTAACTCGATGCTAAAATTGAAAATGTGAAAACAGACTCCAACCCAGTGCTCAAACTGTGGGTTCGCAAAAGACTGACGAATGCTCGCACTGAGGGTTCAGAACAGATTAACTCGGTGCTTACTATAAAGATTCAGAACAGACTCTAACCCAATGCTCGAACTGAGGTTCGCTTCTGACAAATTCAGTTCTAGCACTGACTGTTCACTACAGACTTACCCAGTTCTCAACTGAAGGTTCACTACATACTAGCCCTGTGCTCGAACTGAGTGTTCACTACAGACTTACCCAGTGCTCCAACTGAGGGTTCACTACAGACTAATCCATGCTCGAACTCAGGGTTCACTATAGACTAACCCAGTGCTTGAACTCAGGGTTCACTATAGACTAAACCAGTGCTCGAACTCAGGGTTCACTACAGACTAACCCAGTGCTCGAACTCAGTGTTCACTACAGACTAACCCAGTGCTCGAACTCAGTGTTCACTACAGACTAACCCAGTGCTCGAACTCAGTGTTCACTACAGACTAACCCAGTGCTTGAACTAAGTGTTCACTACAGACTAACCCAGTGCTTGAACTAAGTGTTCACTACAGACTAACCCAGTGATCGAACTCTGTGTTCACTACAGACTAACCCAGTGATCGAACTCTGTGTTCACTACAGACTAACCCAGTGCTCGAACTGAGGGTTCACCAATGACTAACCCAGTGATCAAACTGAGTGTTTACTAGAGACTAACCCAGTGCTAGAACTCAGGGTTCACTACTGACTAGCCCAGTGCTCGAACTGAGTGTTTACTACAGACTTACCCAATGATCGAACTGAGGGTTCACTATTGACTAACCCAGTGCTCGAACTGGGTGTTCACTACAGACTTTCCCAGTGATTGAACTGAGGGTTCACTACAGACTAGCCCAGTGCTCGAACTGAGTGTTCGCTACAGACTTAGCCAGTGCTCGAACTGAGAGTTTACTACTGACTAACCCAGTGATCGAACTGAGTGTTCACTACAGACTAGCCCAGTGCTCGAACTGAGTGTTTACTACAGACTTACCCAGTGATCGAACTGAGTGTTCACTACAGACTAACCCAGTGCTCGAACTGAGAGTTCACTACAGACTTTCCCAGTGCTTGAACTGAGAGTTCCAGTACAGACTTACCCAGTGCTTGAACTGAGTGTTCACTACAGACTAACCCAGTGCTCGAACTGAGAGTTCACTACTGACTAACCCAGTGCTCGAACTGAGAGTTCACTACTGACTAACCCAGTGATCGAACTGAGTGTTCACTACAGACTTTCCCAGTGCTTGAACTGAGAGTTCAGTACAGACTTACCCAGTGCTTGAACTGAGAGTTCAGTACAGACTAACTCAGTGCTCGAAATCAGGGTTCGCTACAGGTTAACCCAGTGCTGGAACTGACTGTCCACTACTGGCTAACCCATTGCTCATACTGACAGCTCACAACAGACTATTCTATTGATCAGTCTGAACATTTAGAACATACTTCAACCCAATGCTCAAATTGTAGGTATGCAAAAGACTAACCTATACTCACATTCAGGACTTACAGCAGACCAACCCGTGCTCGATCTGAAGATTAAGAACAGACTCTAAAACGATGCTAAAATTTATTATTTATTTTAGAATCTAACTTAGTGACTAAATTGACAGTTCACATGAGTCTCTGACCCAATGCCAAATGAGCGGTTCACAACAGACTCCACTGAAATGCGCAAACTTGAGAGCTGTCACATCAAACGCTATTTCACAAGTAAAGATAAATGCCTTAATAAACTCGTGATTCTTTCGGAGCTCTTTTAAGTCGCGAAGTACTGCTCTTAAAATATTTCAAAGGCTAAATTTTTGCTACAAATGAACAATGAATTATTGCGAACCATGAATCTAGAACCAACTAAAGATAATTTTTCAGTACAGCAAGTACGCTAAGAGAGTAAATTGAGCATAGAACAATTAGGATTCATTAGTTTATAAGATGACAAGAGTTATTTACATAAATAAAAAAGAGTGTTGTGACAACATGTTTGCCCAGTGCATGGGAGAGGTGGGCGGGGGCCTAGGTGGGGGGGGGGGGGGGGGGAGGGACGGACATTTAGCATATGAGAGAAGAACACAAGTGAGTGAGAGCCAGATACAGAGGACACATTTCTGTGACTTGGGTTCTTTTCACGGATTGTATTGTTTGTTTCACGGACTGTATTGTTCATTTCACGGACTGCATCATTCGTTTCACGGACGGCATCGTTCGTTTCACGGACTGCATCGTTCGTTTTGCGGACTGTATTGTTCGTTTCACGGACTGTGTCGTTCGTTTACATACATACATATACACACATGTAGGCAGAAAATGGGGCAAACGGACAGACAGACAGACCTAGACACATATATGTTCAAAAAGTTTACATACACTCATGTACGCATGCATGCAAAACGATGGCTGGCACCATGTTCGTCGGCACCATAATGTCACGTGCTTAACACTCTTGACATCCTTAACAACATTGACATGGTTCAAGACAAAGACATGGCTATTGTAGCTTCTATCACATATTAAACTCATTTGAAGCGCCCTTGTATGTAAATTTAATTATCCTTGATAACTTTGTTCATTTTCTTTTTTCTTTTCTTTTCAGTACGCTAATGATCGCTTCTACTTATCAGTTGCCGAAGAAGCCATCAACTTAGACAAAGACACCACAATATCCATATTCATCACATGTCATCGAATATGAACGCTTATAATTCACATAAAGGATGACTCTGAGGCTTGGAGTTAGTGAACACACTTCATAGCCCTCTAGGTACAAGGTTTGATTTTCGCCGCAAGCAGTCTGGGGGAAAAAATGTTATTGCCTTTTTTCGGACATTGGAAAGAGAGTCACACCGTATAATAGATTTGTATTCACTGTGTAATATCCCCCCCCCCCCCCCCAAAAAAAAAAAAAAAAAACAGCAGTGGGTAAACTGCAGACAACTTCTTTTGTGGATGCGGCGCTAAAATGTTTTTATTCATAAATGGAAGATGTCTTCATTTTAGGAATACGAATTAAACAGAACGCTTGCAGATGCATATTATTATATAAGTTTGTATCAACTTGAAATTCTTGTGTCATTTGGCTTTAATAGGAACAGATTATAAATGAAAGTGTCTGGCTGATCATTTGGGCGAAAAAGAGGACTGTTTTCAACACGCGCAGCTGGTGACTTTCAAAATAATATTAATGTATATGTGACTAATGTTTTGTTACATAATTTTTTAATAGTCCATGCCGTGTGACGTTGGTAGTCATGTTTATCAGCAACATTCTGTTGTTAAAGTATAAGCTCATTATGAGAATTCCTCTTTTTCTTTCGTCTTTTTGAAATAGATATCATCTATATCTGCAACGTTGTCTCTAGTATGAATTCCTTTGTTTGCTGTAATTCACTCAGCGACAGGTAATGTTTGGCTTGTAACGGTATTTTTCTTGGCCCAAAGTTTTCCTTGATATATATATTGTGATACTGTATCAGATTATTCTTGCAGTGTATGTTAGACTAGCATTGCTCCATCTATATCATAGCAACACTGGATTAAGTTTATTATTATCCATCACACACAACAATTATCTGATAATAACAGGGTGTACATATGAGAGATTACAAAAGCATTTAACCAGTATTTAAGAAAAGTGTTAAATATAAACTTTTCTCAGACATAACCTGGTTCTTAAATTATGGACGATGTTGCCGATTTGCCATGAAACCTTAGTGTATGATCTATGGATATAGATTCTTGAACTAACTGAAGAGTCTGTGTCAAATTAAAGGGGAGATTTACAAATCTCACATTACAAACACAACTCTCAGCTTCTGAGTCACAACGTTCGAGCAAAGACAACGGTTTAAATACTAAATGACTCATCTCCAAGAAGGCTAGTCCCGTCTTATCAGTGCACCGAGAAAGCAGATAATCCTGCAGTAACTGGAGAAAAAAATTAAACATGAAGCAGAACAAGTCAGTTTTCTATTAAAACACACTTACAAATGAAAAAACAAATTCGCTGTGGTTAGAAAGACTTTATTGGAATACAAAACTGAAACGACTACAGAAAAAGGCTACATATAATAACAGCTTGATGACAACAACGCCTTGTCAAAATATCTATCCCGATGTAAAAAAAAAAATTTTTTTGAACGCTCTTCCACGGACAACATACAGACAGGAAGTGGTTTTCTTTGAACAACTACTGGCAGAAAGTGGTTTTCTTTCAACAACTACTTGCAGAAAGTGGTTTTCTTTGAACAACTACTGGCAGGAAGTGGTTTTATTTGAACAACTACTGACAGGAAGTGGTTTTCTTTGAACAAATACTGGCAGGAAGTGGTTTTCTTTGAACAACAATCTCTGACCATGACAGAGAAGATGAGCATAGACATTATAATCAACAACCTCACTGATGATGGTAACATGTCTATGGACACAACGGATTTGTCCCAGGTGGACTATCCCAGACTCATTAAATATAAGCCTCTATGGGAAATCGTTGTGAAGACAGTTTTCTACGTTCCAGTTATCATCTTGGGAATCATCGGCAACGTGATTATCATAGCAGTTGTGGCCAAGAATAAGCGAATGCAGGTAAGTTTGCAGCAGGTTGTATTGTTTAGTATCCCCATGTGGGTTCCGGGGCCCCATTTTGCACTATATATATATATATATATATATATATATATATATATATATATATATATATATATATGTACACCCACTGTCTACTTAACAAGAATGTCCTAATTGTCGACTATTTTGGGTTGCTTCCTTCGAAGTCGGAGTGAACCTGCCTGAGAAGCGATTAACCCACCGTCTGCTTACAAAAAAGTGAGTAAAGGCCCTTTTTCCATACCTTTAGGCGTATAGGGCTAGAGCTATATTTTATAGACCAATCGGCACAAGATGGGTGATGTGGTCAGGAAAGAGAGAGAGAGAGAGAGAGAGAGAGAGAGAGAGAGAGAGAGAGAGAGAGAGAGAGAGGGGGGGGGGTTGGGGGGAGATGATGAAACACCAGACGACATAAAAGTCCAAAACCAGTGATCGAACATGTCGTCTCAAAAGTTACGTCGGCGCCTGTTTTAGGAGTGTTGAGTTGAAGTACACTTGTTCCTAAAGGTGACGACGGGTTTGGGTCAAGTGTATCATCCTTGTTCTACCTCTTTATAGTTCGTCCGGATGGTTGCATGCTAATCTGTTTATCATTTGGGTTATCAATACTGTGGTGTGGGTTTGATTCCAAGCAGTTGTATGGTACGATTTCTAACCCTTACAGCTCTGCTCATGATCACTTGAACACACACATTAATACTTTTTAATCAATCAACTGTGTATTTGACTTCAGGAAGAGTCTTGTCAACAAGGGCTTCACAGTGCAGCAGATGTATAAGAGTGCACAAAGTTTCCTAACGTCCATGGGATTTAGCAAAATGTTGCCTTCTTTCTGGGAGACGTCCGGGTAGATGGAACCCGTTAGCTTTGCACAGCAGTCCATCTAGGAGACGGCAAACTCCGAATTTAAACCCCCAAGTTCAAGGTGGGCCAACGTGCTGAGGAACTGGATGGCCACGGGTGAGCTGGTCGTGAACGTTGGACGTCTGGCGTGCGTGCGGGGCGGCACCAGGCGTAGGGACTCCTACGGGACATCTATTGCCCCTTCTCTAGCAGGCAGGCAATACTAGGGCGACCGGTCATTTCCTGCAGTACTCTATCTTTTCGTATGGATTTTAAAAATATGCATAAGAATCGTCGCCGGAGCTACAGGGCACGTGCTCTGTGCTTGACACATCATTCAGCTATTAGTGAACAGGGAGGGAGGAGGAGACGACGAGGAAATGGGGAGAGAAGAAGGCATAGAAATAGGAGAGCGGGTGCTAGGAGAACAAGGCGAAAAAGAGGAGAGATTGAGCTTTAATCATGTAAGAGTAGGATACTGGAACTGTCGGAGTGCTAGGCAGAGAGGTCCTGTACTGGAGAGGTTGATTTTTTATTTTGATGTCATGATGCTCCAGGAGTTAAATACAGACAGATATCATTGCCCTGGGTACGTCAGTTATATAAACCCTGTTGGACAGGAGAGACATGGACAAGGTCTAGTGGTAAAGGAGGGAGTGAAGCATGTGGTGCTTGACTTGAGCCAGTGGAACCACAGTGGACGAGAGGTTCAAGGGATACAGGTGGAAATTGGTAACCTAAGTTGGAACCTCATAAATATATATGCCACGGTAGACTGTTTTGTCAGAAGTGAACAATGGAGCTGGCTCAAGGAACTGGAGGAGTTACCAGGTGATAGGATACTCATATGTGGGGATTTCAACGCGAGGAACAGAGAATGGGACAGCAGTGGAGAAAACCGACAGGGAATTGCTCTTGCAGAGGCCATGGTTGACTCCGATATGGTCTGCATCAATAATGGGAGGCCGACTAGAATGGCAATGAGGCCTGGAGATGCAGACACAGCCATTGACTTGACATTTGTCTCTCAGTCGTCGGTTTTAGATGTTAAATCGACTGTCCTGAATGACCATGGGAGTGATCACCTACCATGTTCAGTCTTGATTTCTTAACACAGTAAGGTTGAGGTTGGGAGAGCACGCAAGACCTTCCAGTATAAGTGGACCAACAACCTACTTGGACGCCTCAGACAGGGAGCATGCAAAAGAACTGTCAGAACTAATTTTCTACAGCCCCCATGGTGGACCCCAGAAGTAGAACAGGCATGGAAGGCAAAGAGAGCCGCAGTGAAGCAGCTAAAGAAAGTAAGACAGACACCCTCAAGCTCACGAGAGGAAGTGGAGATGGCGGAGAAAGTGAAAAGAGATAAGGTGGAGGTTTTCAAGCGCTGTGCTGCAGAGGCCAAAAGAGCAAAGTGGGAAACTTTTGTGAATGACATGGGAGGCGATAAAACATTGGGGAAATTCTGGAAACTGCAAAGGCAGATGCAAAGAAAAGATCGGCCTATGACAGTCGGGACAATTTGTAGAGACGATGGTGTGCGTGTGACAACAGACAAGGAGAAAGGGGAGGCTTTTCTCCATAGGTTTATAGCTCAGACAGATCATAATGATGTAGACATCAGAGATGCAGTTAGAAAGGAGTTAGCTGGCACCTTGAAAAATATGCATTATGAAGACATGATACAATTGGAAGATATCAAACACATTTTGAAAAAAGCAAAAGACACTGCACCAGGGCTTGATGGAGTCAGGTATGGTCACATAATGGCTTTAAGCGATGTAGACCTGGCGGAGATGGCCGAATGTTTTAACCAGAGTATTGAGACAGCATCAGTACCGCAAGACTGGGTGCACAGCTATCTAATCCCACTACCAAAACCTTTTAAAGATCATTCTAAGCTTAGTGGCTTTAGAATCATCACCTTACAAAACACATTTGGGAAGGTCTTGGAGAAGATAGTTGCTGTAAAGTTACAAGAATCTTTGGAAAGGGGGAAGCTTCTTCCAAGAGGTCTGGGAAGTTACAGGCCAGGAAAGGACACTTGGGCAAATGCGGCCACTTTTGCTTTTGACGTCTATGAAGGGTTCCAGAACAGACAGGAAACTATGGCGGTAGGACTGGATCTCGAGGATGCTTATAACAGAATGAGATACGACATCCTAATGACTGCACTGAGGGAGAAGGAGGTCAATCCATGGCTGGTGAATTGGGTTGCAGCTGTCCTGTATTCACGTCGGGTTGCTCTCCGACTGGGCTCATGGACCTCTGAACCATGCACTTTGGCCCCAGGACTGCCACAGGGATCCGCCATCTCGCCTGTGCTCTTCAACGTGTATACGAGCAAGATTGCAAGCCTAGAAGCACCAGGAGTTGGAAGGATACTGACTTTTGCGGAGGATATACTTGCATATAGGCAGGGGGAAGAGAGGGAGCAAACAGCCCGGGAGCTACAAGCGACAGTAGACAAAGTGACTGAGTGGTGTACAGAAATGAATGAAAAGGGCTCTCTGGACAACGTCGTTTAAAACATGTCCCAAGTCTCACGATAAAGAGCGTCTGCAAACTGAAGTTTGGGTGGTGTCATTTCTCTGGACAACAGACTTATCGTTAAGACTACTGCAATGTCCCAGAGAAGCTTTTCACACTATATCAGCACGATCCTGTCAGTGATGGATTATGGCCTGGGACTGCTTACCGTCTCAAAGAGTCAGATGGACAAACTAGAGCGCATACAGAACGCGGCTATGCGGGTCATTCTGGATTGCACCAGAGACACCCCACTTGTGTAGAGTCATAATCACGCTGAGCCAGGAATACAGAGACTGGCCAGCAGGTGCCACAGAGGTGGAAATTCAGCAATTAATTCAAGATAATGCTCGCTCAGAGGATTTGATCATTTACACAGACGGTTCAGTGTCAAGAGGCAGAAGAAGTGCTTGGGGCTTTTTAGCAAAAGTTAATGGTCGACGTTTGGTGCAGCAGAGCCTAGCATATGATACCACAACATCCAGCTTAAGAATGGAGGTGGAGGCGGTCACTGCAGCTTTCCGCTGGCTAGAGAACACGACACACACACACACACACACACACACATCGTGATTGTATCTGATTCAGAAAGCATGTTGAGGAAGATCAGAACAGGTATGCTTCGTGCAGAGTGGCATGCTTCGCTGAGGAGGACACGAGTGAGGAGTATTGTCTGGATTTTTTCACCGGGTCACGCCGGTGTGTTGCGAAATGAACAGGCGGACAGACTGGCTGGCTTTGCACAACTTGGTGGAATACTGCTGCATGATAGGACGTGACTAGTGCCTTGTGGGAGAGCGTGTACAATGCGGAGGAGCAGATGGATCACCAGTCTGGTGAGATTGGTGCAGTTGGGGTGACGAGAGGTTTTGGCAGAAGCTCAAGGCTCAGAGGAAAGGCAAGACGGACGTTTAATCAGAAAGCTACTGGCACCATTAGTATCGGAACTTTTCGCTGGCTGCTGAAGATGGAGACGGAGCGCTTATGGGAATGCCCCGGGTGCTGTGATGTCGGTTCTTGAATCAAATCAATCAATCAATTAATCAACACATTCATACTCACTCGCCCAGTGACTCACTCACTTACCCACGTACTCACTCACTCACTCACTCACTCACTCACTTACCCACTCATTCACTCACTCACGCATTCACTCACTTACCTACTAAGTAAATAACTAACTAACTAACTAACTCACTCGAAACTCACTTACTCACTCACTCACTGACTCACTCACTCACTGACTGTCTCACTCACTCACTCACTCACTCACTCACTCACTCACTCACTCACTCACTCACTCACTCACTCACTCACTCACTCACTCACTCACTCACTCACTCACTCACTCACTCACTCACTCACTCACTCACTCACTCACTCACTCACTCACTCACTCACTCACTCACTCACTCACTCACTCACTCACTGACCCACTCCCTGACTTACTCAATCACTTATTCACTCACTCTTTCACTCACTCAATCACACATTCACTCACTAAATCAGTCCCACAATTATTCACGCACTTCCTAGATCACTAACTCACTCAAAAATGTTGTGTATGCAGTACTAACCTTACATATTAATACAAACAGTCAGTCATCAATGGCCTCTGTACTGTAGTGGCTAGATGCTCGCCTAATAGCCGAAGGTCGTTGGTTTCAATCTGCACCCATTCAGATTTTTGATTTTTCAAAATTGACTTATGACCACATGTCGATCAGGTCTAAAATGGATACTAGAGATGGTCCTAGGAAGAACGGGCTGTCAGCAATATCGAAACGGCATCACCCATTGAGTGTCGAATGACCCAGAAAAAATATGATTTTAGCATCATGCACCGGATGTACAAATATTGTAAAGGAACTCTTTTAGTTACTCAGTAAGCGGTGTTGTCAATGTCACGCTGTTGGATCTATTTCAGAGGATTCAGATCTGTTATATGATTATTTAATATTTTCTAGACGTTTTTGACAATGGTAGGAAAAAGCGAAGGCGACCAAGAAGGGGAATTGATACTTTACTGTATTACTCGTAGAGTGAAAATAAAGTGAAGGACCCTTTTCCACGCCTCCATGCGTATCGGGCATATAGGGTTAGACTTATATTGTATAGACCAATGGGCATTCAGTGTGTGATGAGGTCAAAATTACGCCAGCCGCCTTTTCTTCACAGGACTTCACCTGATATCTCTTTAAGGCAAGGTCGACTTAGGGGTCAAGGTAACTTCTGATGAAGGTCCGGCTCCGTCAGGACCTGACCCCACGACTTTCGGATCCACAGGCAATGGTCTAGCCGCTACACCACGGTGGCTTCCGCATTAACGTAGCCTAGAATACATGTTTCAGATACTGCCATGGGATTATCAGTTTGGGACATTTTAGAAGAAGGAAGCTGGTGACGATTTGCAAGTTTTATGGAAAAGAGCAGAGCGAAGGTGAAGAGACAAATATCTGGATGGCTGGGCCATGGCGAGAGTACTGATCTGATCTGTTATTCTGGTGATCGTGTGGAATACAGCACTATGATTTCCTTCATTACCCAGCAAATCACGCGAGAGTGACGATGAGGATGATGAGGAGAATGATCACGTTGATGATAGTGATGATTCACTAGTATTTCTGACATGATTAGTTAGTTAGTCAATCAACCAATCATCCTCATCGTGTATCGGACATGTCCACTAGCGCTCTATTCCCATCTTCAGTATCTCCCCCAGCGTGTGCGACTGGTAATACTATATTTGTGCTGGTTTACTACTCTTCGTTGGCTACCATATAGTAGTGGGTCTCTGTGGAGACGTGGTCAATACGTTTGATTCGCGCTCTGAAGGTCGTGGGTACGTTTCACGGAGGCGTCGTTCAGTTCACGAATGACATTTTTACGGAGATCCACGAGGATCGTCGCCGGAGCTGGCAGATAGCTGTTCTGCGGAGAGAAATTGATCCATATGGGATAAATCCGCAGCAATTAAGTCGATCCTCTAAAATTGGCCCTTACCGATTAGTATTCATATCTGGCAGCACTTCACCCAGGCATGATGTTTACCTGCAGCTCAACAAACTATGTTATGTTTCAGACCACCACGAATTATTATATCGTGAATCTTGCTGTGGCTGATTGTCTTGTTGCCCTCACGTGTTCCTGGACTCATCTTGTTGACGACCTCACGCCATTCTGGATACTGGGCAGCTTTTTCTGTACCTTTAACACCTTTTCACAAGGTAAGTGCAGACGTTGTTGATTTCAAGATCATCTGTATCGCACATCGGACATGACCATAAGTGCATTGAGGTCCTCCTGAATATGTTTCTGAGAAATTGTAGGCTAAAAACTCCCATTCTAGTCTGGCTGATGTCAAGACGGGTGGCATCCACATGATTATCCTGTCTCGCGGCTCCAACTGGTACATCCAGGGTGTGCAGTCTATTCAGTCTTCTTTTACTTTGATCCTTCTGGCAGAAAGCTTAAAGGCCGGTAGCCTTTATGAAAGCTGTCGTGCAGTCCATATCTTCTCGCTTAACACACAGTTTGTGTCTTCATTGTGGTTGTAACAAGCTAGATTGCGACTCTGTTGACAGCATACAGCTGACTGTGTTGGAGCACATGCTCAGCATTTTCGGGTGCCAGGTTACAGGTGCACGTCTCCGTGTTTCCTACACCGAAAAGTTTGCATATATGTTGACGAAGTCTGTTGTGCCCTGTCCCTAATCTGAATATAACACACTGTGCATCTCTAGAGAGGCAATGAAGCTAATCTTGAGGAGTGAATTTTGTGTGTGTATCCAGCCATCTTTCTTGGATACAAGATAGCATTAATGTCTTAGTCTCTTTGTGGTTTATTTATTATTTAGTTGTACCATGTCATTGACGCTTCTAGCCAATCTGTCCGCTATTTCATTGCCTTCCAAACCAAAGTGACTTGGAATCCACTGTATCACAGATTGTTTTACCGAAGAACCTTGGTGAATCAGCTGTTGCGTCAAGTCTACAAACTGAGTGTCTCAGACTAAGTTTATTCAGTGAAAAATCATTTTCCACAAAACTGAAATCCTCACAACGTTTGGTCTCTCGTATGACATTGATGTCTCTCCTGTCTATAAATGGCTCATTGCTGATAGTCGCACTGCCACCCAGGGTCTGCTCTGTCATTGCCTTTCTCACCAGTGTCCAATGGGACAAAAATGAAGTTGATTTCCCTACCATCTTTTTTTTCTGTAAAACCAGGTGCCACATTGGCTAACGGTCATGTGGTGCTAGACCTGGTTTTATAGAAGAAAGGGCATTTAACCAATGATGTAATCAACACTGCATGGCCGCTTTCACTTTCCAAAACAATTTGTTGGTACTCATCTAGGCTGGTGTCTGGTCCTTCTTGACGTGGATCGAGCCTTAGACCTTCGGGTTGGTAAATAAATATCCAGCCAGTACGTTAGGGGCAGCATGTCTTTCACATATGGCATTATTCTCAAATATCTTGTTGATGTGTTTGTTTTTTCTTTCCTTGATAATTTTAGTTTAAAAAAAAAATTAAAATCTTTTGTATCGTTTTGAAACAGTTTTATACAGATGTATACTCTAATAAAAAAAACTCCATTTCCCCTCCCCAAAAGAAGAAATTACTCAGAGACTATTTAGAGTATAATCATAAGGAGAACCAGCTGCTTAAGAAAACATAGTTTACTGAAGTTGTAAATTTGTTCACTTTATTGAACGCCGTGCCACCTTCACTATCATCGTCATTTGGCTGATGTCCGTCTCCGTCGCCTCTCCTCTTAGGTACTACTTCTCACTGCTTGGAATAAAGCCAGTCTTAAAAGTCATCAAAGAACAACAAATGAAGTGGTTTGGACACCTAACAAGAATACCCTGGTACTCTCTGCCACAGCGAGCCACACTAAAACTTTATAACGGGTATATATAGAGCGAGCGGAAGACCTCGGAAATATGAAGTGATGGCATTAAGAACAGCCTTACAGAGATGAACATCAGTCTTAATAATGCTATTGGTAGAGCTCATTATCGAATGTTACATCTCCCCCCCCCCCCCCCCCCCGACACTTCGATAAGGTACAAGGAGGAAGAGAAGAAGAGGAAGAGAAAGTTTACTGAGAGAAGACAATCAAGACAGTATATTAAAAAAAAACCAAAAAAAACAGACAGGCGTCTAAACGTTCCCATAGAGTATCGGAGACGCGTGTCATTGGCAAAAGATCACATCATTATCTATTACTACTGTCGACACAATGATCTTCCTAGTATTTTCTTTTGATTGACTTCTCCGTGCAGCAAACAGGCGAACTCGGATGACTCAAATATGGGCATAGATCTGCTACTTCAGAGGATGCCAATTTTCGTGTCTCGGGAACGGGACCATGAGGACTTTTACAATCATCCCTAAGAATAAGCCTAAAGACCAATTGTTTAACTTTATACTCAGTGCAGCGTGACGTAACTGAATCTCAGAAGTCATAACTAAAACACAACTGGTTAGAGTTTCCAGGTGCTAATAAGCAAATTCAGAAAAATAACAAAGACAACCAACTTATAAAATACTGTTATCTGAGTAGTGGAGATACAGAAGCAAATATAGAGTGCCACAATATGTGATCGATTCCAGAAGAAGATATCAGTTCAATGTGTCCTGAAGAGCAACGGTCCAGAGTTCTAGAAGAACAAATTTACAACAGATCAAAATAACACCTTATTAACATTTAAGAACAATCTTCTTCTTCTTCTTTGCGTTCACCAGCTGTAAACTCTGGTGGAAAGGTTTTTTTGTTCGTCCCCTTCTGGACTGCAGTCCTCTTCCAGATCTGACACATTTGTGTGCACATTGTTGGTTCTTTGCCTCTCAGGCAGATGCACTCCGACTTCAACGGAAGCTCCTAATTAGTCGACTCTTAAGACACGCTTTTGGGTAGGCAGTGGGTCTAATCTTGTTTTTCCTATAATAGGGCCCCGGAACCCACACGGACATTTAAGAACAAAGAAAATACAAGCAACACAAGTGAAAAAAAAATCGAAACACACATTTTCTAAACCAAACGTTCACCCGGCTCTCTAGCGTAGTTGGTTATACCGGATAGCGCGGAGACCGGGTGACGAACTCCTTGTGGTCCGGGTTCAATCCCGTGGGTAGACAGGAAAGCCACATTTTCTCTCAGATTTAAGGTATTTACAATTGAATCAAGGCCGAAAGGTTGCGATATCCATAACACCGAGCCTATGGGTTAACAACTTCTGGATACTAAAACAAACAAACAAACCAAACGTTCGCACTCAGTTAAATTAATACAGAATGTGAAAGACCAGAACAATGAAGACAAGAAGAACAATACAACGACCAGTGAGAAACAGATATTGCAGGTAATAACAGAACAACGTCTGAAGCATGACCTTTTACACGTCTTTAGGGGATCAGACATGTAATACTGGACCTATATGGCGCTATGACACTCAATGGGTGATGATATCAGCATCACATCACGTGCCTTTACGGTGCTTTACTAATATCCTATCCCAGATAACGTGACAGGACAGTCTAGCATTTTAGAGGGTGGTAAAACTAGGTTTCCCGGCTTTCTGATGCTTTAACGACCCCAAAACATCTAGAACTGGCCCTAACCCCAACCTACCTCTGTCCAAAAGAGAATCCTGCCTAAGTCCCACGATTGCATGCAGCCTAGGTCCCACGACTGCAAGCGTCCAATCTACCACCCCCTGAAATATTTGACTTTCCTGTGACCTGTGGATTTCCCGATGGGGTTGGATATTAGTACAGAACCGCCTTTACTTTCCAGGATATTACATGGTACCTATTTTAACTGGGTTGATCTGGAAACCGGAGAAGTCAGTTTTGAAGAAAAAAAAAAAGGGGGGGGGGGGGGGTCCTCTTCAATGCTGTTTTGAAGCAAGCCGAATGCTCACGTTGCTGTTTCATGTTTCTCTCTACAGTTCTTTTCCTGGTTGCAAGCATCTTCACCTTAACCTTCATTGCCTGTGATCGCTTCTTTGGGATCGTGTTTGCCATGAAAGCTCACTTCATTGAACGCCGTGCTACCTGCACTATCATCCTGATTTGGCTGATGTCCGTCCTCGTCGCCTCTCCTCTAATGTACTACAGGCGTCTGCATGAGGTAGGTATCAGTCTAGGTTTCTGTGTCCCCTCCGGACTCCTATTTGGAGATTTCACAAGCTTGTCAATGACACAAGTGTTAATCTGGATGGCAGGCCAGCAGAGCAAATCCCAAACACCTCCTTCAGCATGCAAAGAAGTTTTAATTGGGGTTTCTGTCGTGCAGAACGGTGCAGGCTGTATAGCCTTACGCGGGTAAGGTATCTATCTGAACGAGGTAGGTGTGCTCTTGACTCATTGTACACCCCCAATCCCATCAGAGACAGGACGACACATAGATGACATGTTTGATAACAGCTTTTGGGGCACACTTACATATCAGTGACCACTTCGCTGCTAGTCGAGACAGTATCTTAGTATGTCTCCTTTGATCGCATCACCACTGCTCGAGTCCTTTTCAGGTCTTTTGGTCGCGTGCAGTGTTAAGACATTTTTATGTGGCTCATATAAGCTAACCACAATCATAACCTTAAGCTTCCATTTTGGATATGCTTGCTGAAATTTATGATTTTTATTTCAGCAAGGCACCTATCTACCTTTTTCGGTTTTCCAAGCTATGACCCAAAATAAAATAATTAATACACACAAACTGTGGCCAATAAAATTCTTAACGCATATTTTGATCAATAAATGATTACCTCAAAACAAACTACGGCCAAAATATTAATTACTACAACACAAACTATGGCGAAGAAATTATTTACAGCAACACAAACTGTGAGTAAAATATTAATCACCACATCACAAACTATGTCTAAGAAGTAAATTACCACAACATATACTATGACCAGTAAATTAGTTACCCCAACACAAACTATAGCCAAAAAATTAATTACAACGACACAAACTATGACGGAGAATTATTTGCCGCAACACAAATCATGAATAGGAAGATAATCACCACGACACAAACTATGACTGAGAAATTATGACCACAACATAATCCATGATCAAGTAGTTAATTACCAAAACACAAACTATCAAGCTATGACCAAGAAGTTAATTATCACAACACAAACTATGACCAGTAAATTAATTACCCTAACACAAACTATCGTTGCGAGTCCGACTCGTAATCCAACGTAAGTAAGCAAAGTAAAGGACCCTTTTCCACACCTTTAGGCATATAAGGCATAAAGGGCTAGACCTATATTTTTATAGACCAATCGGCACAAGAAGGGTGATGTGGTCAGCATCACGCCAGTCGCCTTTACTTCCCAGGACTGCACCCGGTACCCACTCAAGGCTGGGTGGACCTGACAGCCGTAATCCAACGTACCGTGGTCGAAACCCACTGCTGGCTGCGTGGATTTTTACCGTAGTATGGGGCGTCGCAGGTCGACCCAGCCTAAGATGGGTACCAGGATGACTGTCCTGGGAAAGTAAAGACGGCCGGCGTAATGCTGACCACATTACCCATCCAGTGTCGATTGGTCTGTAAAAATATGGGACGCTCTGTCCATATACCCGATGCGCCTTAGGCGTAAAAAAGGATCTTTACTTTTTTACTTTAACACAAACTATGGCCAAGAAATTAATTACCACAACACAAACTATGGCCAAAAAATTAATTACCACAACACAAACTATGGCCAAGAAATTAATTACCACAAGACAAACTATGGCCAAGAAATTAATTACCACAACACAAACTATGGCCAAGAAATTAATTACCACAACACAAACTATGGCGAAAGAATTAATTACCACAACACAAATAATAACCAAGAAGTTGAGTTGAGTTGAGACCAAGAAATTTATTACCACAACACAAACTGTGGCGAAGGAATAAATTGCCACAATACAAACTATGGCGACAAAATTTATTACCACAACACAAACCATGACCAAGAAGTTAATTACCACAACATAAACTATGGCCAAGACAATAATTAACACAACAGAGACTGTTACAAAGAAATTAATTAGGACGACACAAACTGTGACGAATACATTTTTTAACATAGCATAGACTATTACAAGAATTTTTTTAACATAACACAGACTATTACAAGAAATTAATTAACACAACACAGAACATAACCAGACATTAATAAACATAACACAGAATCCTAACGAGCATAAAGCAAAAGACTCGCATAAATACAAACAAGCAAACGTTTCTATCAAAGTCTTTATCAACTAATAAAAAGATATGAACAAACAATAACTTTTGAAGGAAAGGCCTAAAACTGACACGGTTAGTCCCTTTTTAAGTACAGACCGTTGAGGTGATTTTGACCGTTTTATCCATTTATTTCTAGTACGTGTTTAAAAAAATTAGTCTAAGATCACTAAAGACAACAGTAATTAAAGTAACTGATCATTCTACATTTAGGTAATAATTTTGACAGTGATATACAAAGAAAGAAATTATGACAAGCATTGGCAAGGCATCAGACGCTTAGTGCCTTGTTCGTGCTTAGTGACTTGTTGGAGAGCGTGTACAGTTTGGAGGAGCAGATGAATCACCACAGTCTGGTGAGATTAATGCAGGGCTGAGTGACGAAAGGTCCTGGCAGATGCTCGAGGCTCAGAGGAAAGGCAAGACGGACGTTTAATCAGAATGCTACTGGCACCATTAGTATCGGAACTCTTCGTTGGCTGCTGAAGGTGGGGACGAAGAGATATGGAATTGCCCCCGAGGGCTGTGATGTCGGTTCCTGAATCAAATCAAATCAAATAGGTTGAACAAAATATGGAACTCTACACTAAGTTACACATTTTTAATTCTATTTATTTTCTCTCTTATTTCAACATATGCCAGTGCAAGTTGGAGAACCTCTAAAGACAGGCGAAAGTTCAAAATGCTTTTGAAAATAAATGCCGGGGGGGGGGGGGGGGGGTGAAGAAAACCAAATGAGATGAATTCAGAAGGAGAGAACAAATATGAGAAATGTCCAGGCAACCACTAGTATCAACAGTTATAAGACAGAGACTTTGCTATATTGGACACATCCTGAGAAGAAACCAGCAGAGAATCCACCAAACAGGCATTGAAAGGGGAAAACAGGGCATTAAGGAGACAATGACGCCTAAAAGAAACCCTAAGATGAACGTTGATGAAAGAGGCCAAAGTTGCTGGTGTAGATTCAATCCATGATATGGAACTGGCTGCACGGGAGAAAACGAAATGCGGAGAATAGACTGCCAGCCCGGTGTAGCAGATAATGGCACAACAGGATAATGAATAAATTATATGCTTGGTCCTCCCCTACCCGCTCCCCCCCCCCTCCCCCTTTTTTTTTCTTCAATTACATAAAAATCGTCTTTAAAACGAGGGATAGAATAACTAACTTACTCCATCTCAGATATAACTTTAACTGATCCTGAAAACCTACTATCTTCTATCTCAGAGTTGTTTTTCTAAACTATACTGACCCAGACATTCGCTGCCCTAGAGCAACAGTGGCTCTAGATCAGCGGTTCCCAACCTATTGATCGCGACACTTTTTTGGGTTGAACGACCCTTTCACATGGGTCGCCAAAGACCATCGCAAAACAAATATTTATTGAAGTTATGAAGTGGCGACGAAACTAATTGTATTGTTAGGGGTCGTTACCAAATGAGGAACTGTATTAAAGGGTTGGCACAACATGAGGAACTGTATTAAAGGGTCGCCACAACATGAGCAACTTTATTAATGGGTTGCCACAACATGTGGAACTGTATTAAAGGGTCGCCACAACATGGGGAACTGTTATAAAGGGTCGCCACAACACAAGGAACTGTATTAAAGGATCGCCACAACACGAGGAACTGTATTAAAGGATCGCCACAACACAAGGAACTGTATTAAAGGGTCGCCACAACATGAGGAGCTGTATTAAAGGGTCGCCACAACATTAGGAACTGTATTAAAGGGTCGCCACAACATTAGGAACTGTATTAAATGGTCGCCACAACACGAGGAACTGTATTAAAGGGTCGCTACAACATGAGGAACTGTATTAAAGGGTCGCCACAACATGAGGAACTGTATTAAAGGGTCGCCACAACATGAGGAACTGTATTAAAGGGTCGCCACAACACGAGGAACTGTATTAAAGGGTCACCACAACACGAGAAACTGTATTAAAGGGTCGCCACAACATTACGAACTGTATTAAAGGGTCGCCACAACATGAGGAACTGTATTAAAGGGTCGCCACAACATTAGGAACTTATTAGAGGGTCGCCACAACATGAGGAACTGTATTAAAGGGTCGCCACAACATTAGGGACTGTATTAAAGGGTTGCGACAACACGAGCAACTGTATTAAAGGGTCGCCACAACATTAGGAACTTATTAGAGGGTCGCCACAACATGAGGAACTGTATTAAAGGGTCGCCACAACATTAGGAACTGTATTAAAGGGTTGCGACAACACGAGGAACTGTATTAAAGGGTCGCCACAACATTAGGAACTGTATTAAAGGGTCGCCACAACACGAGGAACTGTACTAAAGGGACGCCACAATACGAGAAACTGTATTAAAGGGTCGCCACAACACGAGGAACTGTATTAAAGGGTCGCCACAACACGAGGAACTGTATTAAAGTGTCGCCACAACACGAGGAACTGTATTAAAGGTTCGCCACAACATGAGTAACTGTATTAAAGGGTCTCCAAAACACGAGGAACTTTATTAAAGGGTCGCCACAACACGGGGAACTGTATTAAATGATCGCCACAACATTAGGAACTGTATTAAAGTGTCGCCACAACATTAGGAACTGTATTAAAGGATCGCCACAACATAAGGAACTGTATTAAAGTGTCGCCATAATATTAGGAACTGTATTAAAGTGTAGCCATAACACGAGGAACTGTATTAAAGAGTGGTGGCATTAGGAAGGTTGAGAACCCTTCTCTAAATAGAAACAGTAAATGATATGACGTATGGTCTAGCTAATGAACGTATAACAAATTGTTTGGTACAAATCTGGCGTACTGTTACGAATGACATTTCTTCTCCTGTCTACAAATCACAAACTTTATGAAAATTGAAATCGTAATTTGTTGATTAGAGAGACATCTGTCTTTCAAAGTATAGCGGTTGGTATGCTTGTTAGTGTCAAATGATTTGTCTATTCTTGTGTGCATCTACGAGTTTGCTTTGTGATCTACTCCTCTGTGTATCCAAGGATTGACTGGTTTTGTTCATTTCTTCTGTGTATCAAATTTTTTGTTGGTTGAACTAGATTCTGTGTATCTACGGGGTGGGCTGGTTGATCCGATTTTTCGTTTATCCACTGTTCGATGATTTTCCCACTATTTTTTATATCCACGTGTTAACTGTCCTACCATACCTTGTTGTTTCCCATTTACCATATCTTGTTAACCCGCCTGTGTCATTTTGTTATCGAAAGTGTAGGCCTAAAGTTAAATTCACAATTATGTCTTCATGTCATATAAAAAAAAAAGGATTACACCTGTTCCTACTGTTAAGAAGGGGCAGCACGATGGATAACAGGCTTGCCTGTGAATATGGGTCTGAATTCACACACAGACAGTTATTGTTATTGACTATAGTTTCCAGGCAGATGGACTGAGCGAGGTGCCAGTAAATAACCAGTGCCCACATGGTATAGGGCTAGCCAGGTTTAAAAGGGGGGGGGGGGGGTAAACTAAAAAAATTACATTGCTGCTTGCATTTAGCACTTTTGCGTAGGTTGGGTTGCCGAGTAGGTCGGGAGAAATGAGGGAGGGATGTCTCTGAGCCTTGTGATTTAGGGCCTCATAGCTAGTGCTGTCACTACAGGCTGTATAAATTAGAATTTTATTTTTTGCCCCGGCAATCGAACCTGGGATCTCTCACATGAAAGCTCATATTTCGGTTAGCCACTCCTCTCTGCGGTGAATACTTACATCTTTGTTAGACCTTTGTGGTGAGTATGCACTTTTCTAGATAGACAGGATGGATTCGATGAAATTGGTTGAAGTCGATGAGGAAATCTTGTCTGAAAGGTATTTTCATTTTTGTGCCAGGACACTCTGGGGTAGGAGGGATTGAACGAGCTGTCTTGCTGGCAGCCCATAGTAGGCACAGAAAAAGCAATGGATCGGATCGACATTTCCAATGCTCTCAAGGAGGCTAGACGAGAAGATGATTCACTAGTCGGCGTTGAATTGGCAACATTTAAAAGACTACAAGAACTTCAGGTCAAAAGAGGTGTCGCCAAACATGAACACTATAAGGTAGCCAATGAACCAACACAGAACTGGAATAATCAGTCGCCACACGCTGAATGATAAACTGAAGATGGGGGTCGAGCGCTTATAGACTTGTCCGATGTCTTCTTCTTCTTCTGCCATTCTATCCCCCAATGGAGCATAGGCCCTCAACCAACTCACGCCAAGTCGTTCTATCCTTCGCCATTGCATGGAGCTCTCCCCATGTCCTCCCAGTCTTCCTAACCTTATTCTCCACCTCTCTTCTCCATGTGTTTTTTGGCCTTCCTTTATTCCTATGCTCCTGTTGGTTCCAATGCAAAGACAATGTGTCCTATCCAACGCCAGCGTCTTTTCCTCACCTCTTGGTCCACTGGAGCCTGTTTAGTTCTCACCCAAAGTTCTGCATCTTCAGTGAGGAAAATCTGTCGATTAACTAACTAACCAGCGAACAAATGTGCACCTTTCTGTAATGGAAAAGCGCTCTGTGTTTACCCTAACACAAGGAGCGGGATACGATGCTGACTAATTTACATGACTTACCCCCCACCAGGTACAATGGCGGAACGTAGTTGAAAGTTGGTGCGACGACGACTGGCCAGTCACAATATACATAGATCCAGAGACTGGGCTAGAGACGCCCAGAAGGTTCGCCCGCAAGTTCTACTATATGTTCGTTTGTGTGGTTCTGTTTTTCCTTCCGTGCCTGGTTATGTGTATCGCATACACGGTCATCATCGTCACCTTGTGGTTAGCCCGGGTTCCGGGAGAGAGGATCAACAAAGATATCAAATCACAGACCAAGATGAGGAAAAAGGTATTTGAGAATTGTATTTCATGTAGAAAACATTATTTCATCATCTTTCTCTTTCCTACCTTAATCTGCAAGTCTTCACCGCTCCTCTTTTTTTTTTTTTTTTTAAACCCTCTTTTTCTCCTGTTGTAAAAAAAAAAAAAAATACTTAAATGGTGCTAGATGATACATCGGCAGTATTTCCAGGTGTAACTGATCTTATGTTATAATTCACGTTCATTGAATTCCAGTCAGGAGGGCGGGGGAGTGGGTGTCGGGAGAGGGGAGAGAAAGAGAAAGATAGAGAATTTAAAGGAGGAGTGTTTAGTGAAATTTTCCGTGGCACCTGTCTGGATGTATGCCAGTCAGTTAGAAATGAAATAGAAAGGTAAAGAACTCTTAGCACACACCTCTGGCGCATCAGGCTCATTATGCTAGCCTGCATATTTATAGACCAAGAGGCCCTTGATGTCTGATAATAACTCTTTCGTCCCAATATGGGGCGCATTTTTTCGATGATTCAAAACCCTACTCCGGCTTTCGTCGGGGACCCTAACATAACCTAAAGGTTGAAATGGGTTTCTGTGACTTGCGCTCGGGTGATTCTTATCCGAATTTTGTGTCACTGGGTGTTTATCGCTCGTTTTATGGTCCTGGTGGAGTTACAAGTCACTAAACTAGTGTAATCTGGTCAAAATTATTGACACCCTAAGAGATCAGAACATTAAGTAACATTGGCTAATAAACAGCATCTTGTCTCGGAAGCTGATATACTTTGGCCATATCATACGCCACAGTGGATCTTGGGGGGGGGGGGGGACATCAGAGGGCAACGTGTCATGAAGATGGGCAAAGATCAACAGGCACGAAGATGGGCGCAGGATGTAAGTGACTGTTGGATATGAAGTGCATGAGGCGGGATAGCTGGCAAGAGACAGGCAGACCGTGATGGGAGCGACGTTCTGCAAAAGACAAGCTACAAAATGACGTGTACCACACTGTACTTAGCACTGAAGAGGGCTGCGTGGTCTCGAGGCATGGTGTCTACCTTGAGCGCTAGAGGTCTCGGGTTCGAGGCCCGGTGAAAGCTGGGATTTTTACGTGGACTTATGGTAATTTTCCCTTATCTCTAGGTAGTAAGCCGAGACATCCGTGCGCACGTAAAAAAATCCCTTGGCAGTTGGAAACAAAAATAGCAGTCTAACGGCGCTGTCCGGGCAAAATTTGGAGTTAAAAGTATTTCAGGATCCTTGCCGGTGCAACAGAGTTAGTGCACTGTGCTGAGTTTCCTCAGACTGAGGCTTGAGTTAGAAGAAGAACGGAGCACCTATGGGTTACACCAGTGTGCCATGATGTTGATTTGTTAAATAAACAAGAAACAGCACTGGGTTCAGTCAATGCAGAAATCAACGATTCGCACTATTTCTTTTTTGCTGCTGAACACCGTTACTGATGCCCCAAATATAATTTCTTAGGAGATTGAACGAAGTATGGTAAACCTTAAGATAGCACTTCGAAGGGATAAACTGTTCGATAGATTGTTTGAAGTGTCTGTGATTCGCCTAGTAGATATCTCGAAAGGCCTTGTCATAGATACGAGACGTCAGTGTCAAACACGGTATGAGAAGGTGTGGAGGCTTTGGACTGGACACAAGACAACTAGGTACTCGAACAGTGAAATGACTGGTTCAGATGTCAAACTTTCTTTTTTTTTAAACTTAAGAGGAAATCTGAGTCTCTAGAAATATGTCTTAAATGCAGCTATAGTAACCCATGTTGGAATTTCGGAATATTTGAACTTACAAAATATACGTAAAGTGTGATTCTCTCTAAAGAAAAAGCAATAATAATACTCACGAAATTGGTTCAAACAAATGGTTCAGTGCTTAAATAAAACAAATAAACATATAAACGCCTGAAAATTGTAAATTTGTTTTGACAAATTAAACATTCATAATTGTGTTTGCATGTTATAAGGAAGAATTATCTTACACGATGAAGCAATAGAAGATGTCAAAGAAATGAAAGTTACTCCAGACAGAATTTCTAAGAAAAGTGCAAAATCAAGAATAAACAAAACGAGTAGAGATTTTCCCATGTTAACAATATATATATATATATATATATATATATATATATATATATATATATATATATATATATATATATATATATATATATATATATATATATATATACTCCAAGGAACTTAGTTTGAAGACGAAACTCTGATTCTATAGGAGAAACATTTTAAGAGTACCAGCGTTCAGCACTAATTGTTCGACAATGAGGAGTTAGAAATAAAATAGAGACTTCAATGTAAATGTATAAGGAGAATCACGTCAAATATATTGGCCAGATAAGATTTAAAAAAAAAACCGAAGAACTATAAAGGAAAACAACAATTTCATCACTGGCAAAAAATTATGAAAACACGAAAGTGGCTTGGACATATTAGCAGAATGCCTAGGGACTCTTTGGCAGGAAAAACTCTTCGAAAGACGGTTGATAGAACCCACACACACACACACAAATAGACGAACTTAACTTAAAAAAAAAAAAAAACTTGCAGAAGGACGATAGAAAGAGAAATGAAGAATGTGAAATGACTTGGATAGTGTAATCAGAAAAGCAGCAGAACGGCAGCAATGGAAATTACTTATGAATGTCATATGTGTCAACCACGAAATTAACCAAATAAAGATAAGGAAGAATAAAATTGAAAATTAGTGACAACTGGCAAATGTGCTGGAAAAGAAGCAAATGGTTTAGGTATATAGCAACGATGAGACAATAACATAGACCTAATCCATGATTCTGGTGATCCTATAAGACCATAAACCATGACTACCCACTCTTTTTCCCATGACACAGTATGACATAGATAAGGTTCTAGTTCATCATTCATTGGCACCTTTCCGTCTTTCCAGACGAAAGTGTTATTTTGCGCTATGAGGAGGCATGAGACTCAGACCAGAGCCCATGGCGATGGCGAGTGTGACTAGCAAGACCAGCCCGTGTCAAGAATAGTTTTCCACAATGATAGTATGGGATTTCAATTTTCTAGTGTACCAAAATATTTATCATTTTATTAGTGTTGCACATGAAAAATTCTCAAACTGTTTAACGATTTTATCAACGCCTTGCAGGTGGTTTTAATGCTTGTTGTTATCCTTGCTGTGTTTATACTTTGCTGGATGCCTCTGGTAGTCTCCATTATATACTCGGAGTTTTTTCACAAGCAGAATCTGCAGGTAAGATTTCACTTCATTGGTCGTATTGGTCAAGATTTGGTCCCCCCCCCCCCCCTACCCTCCCAATACTCTTCCCCGCCCTCCCCTCTTCTTTGGCCGATTAAGAAATCAAACGAAAAACTGCGGAGGAAAACAACATTGTAATCCCTGGCAAAGGAAAAAGATAGAGATGGCTCGACGAATTCGCCCACAAAATAATTGAAAAACCTCAAATATTGACATCTAGAGAGATAAGAGAAGTAAAAATAAGTGCCCTTTTCCACGCTTTCAGGCGTGCTGGGCACACAGGGCTAGTCCTAAATTTAAAGGCACGTGGGAATTCTGTGGGTAATGTAGTCAGCATCACGCAGGCCCCTTTACTTCCCAGGACTATGCCTGGTACCAACCTTAGGCTGAGTTAGCCTAGGAGCCAAGGTCATTTTTAAAGAGGGAATAAGTCCGGCTCTGTAAGCATCCGAACCTACGACCTTCTGATCCCTAGGCGAGCGTCTAGCCGCTACACCACGGCGGCTACTTGCGGAGGTAAACAACACAAAAATAATGAGAATTTTCAAGCATGAAATGTAACATACATGTTATTGTTTTACAGAAACATGGACAATGAGCAGCAAAATGTCGAACTGAGTCTCTACAAATGACGAGATACATAAAAAAGCATTCCTATGATATTTTTTTTTATATCTCTGAACAATCATATCATCAGATTAAAAATGCGTTGAGTTAAGTTGAGTCTCAACTCAACACATTTTCTATCTGATAATAAATGGAAAATGTGTGACAGGGATTAAAAGCAGAATAGGTCATGCAAAAGCTGCATTTCCGAAAATAAACTAAAAAATAAAAAAAAAAGGTTTCTAAACTGGTACATACAGCCTGTTTTGGAATGTCCTTGAACAAATTATGAAGAATTTGGAAGCAACAGAGATGTAATTTATGAGACGAATGTTACAAATACCTTGGACGGTCAGAGTAACTAACAACGATTGCTTGAAAGAAGGTAATGAAAGTAAATCTCTATATAACAAAAAGAAAGAGACAAACACTGTTCTTTGGCCACATAATGAGAAGAGAGACATCGGAGAACATCTTGACAACTGGAAAGATCTTTGGAAAAAGGGATAGAGGCAGACCAAGAGAAATGAAGCTGGATGGGCTGAAATGATGGCATGGAGGGATATCATCAAGAGAGCTGTTCCAGACAACTAGGGAACGTGATCTGTTGAGTTGCATAAGCGCCTACGCCAGTTGGCAGGGCACACGATGTTGGTGATGATATTTTATATATATTTCTTTTCGCAAACATTTGTTTTGTTATTTTAATCTGCATTCTTCCTCCCTCTTATCTTTCTGTCTTGCCATACGATAGTGTAATAGTGTGCTATGAGAAGCCATGGAACTCACAGCCAGTGGTGATGGTGACTGTGACTAACTAGACCCGCCCGCTTTAAGAACAGCATAACTGCTGCCCCTCGATTTGTTTCCGTCTAGTGAGACCAACTAAGGCAAAGGATGAAGTTATTCCTATCCATAGCACAAAGCCTAGGCAGTATTGTAAAGACCATATGTTGATCCCTCACTCTATCTGCCTTATTTACTTTAGAGGAAAGGTAAAGCCAATACCAAAGCAGGCTGCCGAAGCTGCCGGATCCAAAGAGCAGTGCTCTATTTACATCTATCTATTTACATTAATGTTTAAATAAGGTTATGGTACACCTCGAAGTGGGGTTTCATCAAGGTTGTTCGGAGGATTAGAGCCTGGGCTGTGCTTTTTATCTTTGTCTTCTTTGTAAGGAATGTTACACTTAATTGTAAACTCTCATCAAACACGTTTAAGTAATTGTGCATCTGATTTCGTGAGTAGGGTGGAAGGGAAATGTAGTTAGAATTGTCCGGATAATCAAACTGTGTAGTCGGGGTCTATTGCATTCCATTACCCTCTTCCACTTAGGGAAATCTCCAGAAATGGCTTCTGAAATGCAAGAGGACGTGAGCTGCAAGAAATGACAAAGGATTAAACTGTTTGTCATGAGCTTGTTGATGATCTGTGCTCCAATGATGCGAATTATCCATTAAAACATCTGTCATTTTGACATTGTGTTACAATAGTTTTACAATACTAAGTTCTTATAGTGTAGTCTGACTTTTAGTCCACTTTATTACATTTACATTCGAATCGTTGGCGGCTGTTGTTGTTCTTCCTCTTAGCGCGCGTCTTCATACGACATGATTGTTAGGGAGCAGGGAGCAGTGGATCTATTTTTCCTTCTCCAAAATGGAACCCCACAACCCACACGATTAGCGGCTGTTATATTTCACAAGAGGAACTACAAAAATATTTTACTGTTCAAATATTCAAAATATTCAATGTTTTATTAGCACTTTCTCGTCTTTCCATACAATAGTTTTATATTGTAATATAGACAGGCATCGGAACCATGGTCCATGACGATGGCGAGTGTGACTAGCAAGACCTTCTGCGTGAAAAAAAAAAAAAAGTCTTCCACAATTAGAATGTAAGATTTCAGACCCGTTTTTGCAATCAGATGCCTTTGATGTGATTCTTATCATATGATGCTCAGCTTTCTGCAGTCATGTTTCCAATTTATTCAAATTCCCTTTCTGATTTTCTCCCTCCTCGCAACACCCCACACGGTACACAACATTTATTGAATATAATCTTTAACAAGAATGTTTGTTTTTCAACTTTTCTCTCAGCTTGAGGAATGGTATAGTCGCTTTAGCTATTTCGCTCGCTACCTGGCTCACTCAAACAGTGTCATCAATCCAATCATCTACGCAGGCTTTAATGACAATTTTAAAAAAGGTAAATTGCATTACATATTTTCCTATGTGATTTGTCACATATGTTGCTTAATTCACAACAGAATATGTTGGCACAGTGTTTGGCCTAAACACTTTTCTTTCACTCGGCGCTCCTGATAAACGCATACATATATACATACGTACATACATACATACACACATACACACATACATACATACATAGATACACACATTCATACATGCATACTCACATACATACATAGATACATACATTCATACATATATACACACGTACATACATACATACATACACACATACACACATACATCCATACATAGATACATACATTCATACATGCATACACACATACATACGTAGGTACATACATTCATACATGCATACATACATACATACATACATACATACATACATACATACATACATACATACATACATACATACATACATACATGCATAAATACATACGTACATACATACATACATACATACATACATACATACATACATACATGCATACATACATACATACATACATACATACATACATACATACATACATACATACATACATACATACATACATACATACATACATACATACATACATACATACATACATACATACATACATACATACATACATACATACATACATACATACATACATACATACATACATACATACATACATACATACATACATACATACATACATACATACATACATACATACATACATACATACATACATACATACATACATACATACATACATACATACATACATACATACATACATACATACATACATACATACATACATACATACATACATACATACATACATACATACATACATACATACATACATACATACATACATACATACATACATACATACATACATACATACATACATACATACATACATACATACATACATACATACATACATACATACATACATACATACATACATACATACATACATACATACATACATACATACATACATACATACATACATACATACATACATACATACATACATACATACATACATACATACATACATACATACATACATACATACATACATACATACATACATACATACATACATACATACATACATACATACATACATACATACATACATACATACATACATACATACATACATACATACATACATACATACATACATACATACATACATACATACATACATACATACATACATACATACATACATACATACATACATACATACATACATACATACATACATACATACATACATACATACATACATACATACATACATACATACATACATACATACATACATACATACATACATACATACATACATACATACATACATACATACATACATACATACATACATACATACATACATAAATACATACATACATACATACATACATACATACATACATACATGCATGCATGCATGCATGCATGCATGCATGCATGCATGCATGCATGCATGCATGCATGCATGCATACATACATACATACATACATACATGCATGCATGCATGCATGCATGCATGCATGCATGCACGCACGCACGCACGCACGCACGCACGCACGCACGCACGCACGCACAGACAGACAGACAGACAGACAGACAGACAGACAGACAGACAGACAGACAGACAGACAGACAGACAGACAGACAGACAGACAGACAGACAGACAGACAGACAGACAGACAGACAGACAGACAGACAGACAGACAGACTACGTAAGTACAGAGAATGTGTGTGCTAAGTTGACAAACATTCATATAAGTTGTGAGGATGAAATATACGCACCCTGAAACGTGTCCGAAAAACAAATATAGTAGTCCATTTTCAAAATGTTACAAAGTAGTTTTAGAAAATATATAGAAAGTGTGAGCCTCTTTTAAGTACTAATCAATATCTCTACATATGATAATAATATTATTCCGTGTTGTATCTGGGCCCCATTGTAAGGAAACCAACATTAAATCCACTGACTCCCCAACAAGCATGCCGTAAGAGTCAACTAATTGGGGGCTTCCTTCAAAGTCGCAATGAGAGGCAAGGAACCATAAATCTGCATACAGATAAGTCAGATCTGTTAAACGGATGTGCAGGCAACACTCAGGTTTTAAAACAGACTTGAGTCCAGAGGTGAACGAACAACCAGAACTGTCCACCCTATTTTACAGCCGGTGAACAAGAAGAAGAAGAAGAAGAATATTACCTGATGAACTATGAGTCTCCTGATAACTTCCATGCATTTCTATTCTGCCCAGGCTTTCAAAATCTGTTCCGAGGTTCAGAGCGGCGTTCACACTACAACACCATGGTATCTAGAGTCGACTCATTCCAGAGTTCTACACACGTGACAAAAGTGTGACATCACCTCAGTATCCAAGATATCCAAGGTATCCGGGATATCCAAACTCTTCAAGATATCTAAGGAGCCCATTTCTTCAGTAGAACACAGTGATTACCTAGAGCAACTTCCATTCACTTCAGAACGAGACCTGGTGGGATATGACCCCCTTAAGACGTTCGTCTTCTGCGGTGCTGCAATTGTTAACAAACATGTACTGACCAAATAATGGTTGTAAAGTGTAGACATTAGTATCCATCCAGAGTTCTTTACTACTGTTAGGGGCAACTGTGACTTTACAACATTATTAAAAGCTGTGCTACATTTTAAAAATTTGTAAATCTGGTGAAATATGCCCCAAAATAATTCTAGATGCCACATGTATAACCAAATGTAGTTGCTGGTGAAGTGGGTTAATTTCGTTAACAAAAGTGAGATTTGAATTCCACGTATGGGTTTCATACCCAGTTGGATTAAAGGGGGATGGAAAGGGGTGGTGTGTATGTTAAAGATAGCATTGACATACTGCGCCTCCTACAAGCATTTGATAAAAGACGACTATGTAGGGTAGTGCGGCGTCCGTGGCTAAGGCGTTGCGAGTCCGACTCGTAATCCAACGTACCTCGATCGAAACCCATTGCGGGCTGCGTGGATTTTTATCGTGGTATGGGACGTCGCAGGTCGACCCAGCCTCAAATGGGTACCAGGATGGGCTGTCCTAGGAAAGTAAAGACAGCCGGCGTAATGCTGACCACATTACCCACCGAGTGCTGATGGTCTGTAAAAATATGGGCGCTCCTCCCATATGCCCGAAACGCCTAAAGGCGTGAAAGGGATCTTTACTTTTACTTATATAGGGTAGTATCCGTTGAAGTCAAAATGCTTCTGTCTGAGGGGCGAGGAATCAACAGTCTGAAAACAAATTAGCCTGATTTGTAAAATGGACCCGCACAAACACACAAAAATTAAGATCTAGAACAAGGGCAAATCCAGAAGTGGACGGGCAGCCATAAATTTCCTGCTAGAGTTTACAGCCAGTAAAGGTAAAGAAGAAGAAGGGAATGAGATTTAAAAAAACACTAAAAATATCCAAACTAACTTCTAGGGCAATAATTTTTTAAAATAAACGCCCTCATCAAATTGTAAATTTCATTCCTAATATTAAAATGTAGATGCTGATATACTGGGTGTAAGAACATGTGTTAGCATTACTGTGACATGAAAATTGAATAACATAAAAGCTTTCTGACTGAGAATCATTAGGACTTAAACACGTGACTTAATCATAGCAACGTTAGCATTGCAAACTGTGAATGTTGAAATACCACATTGTAAACATGTCATCACATACAAATATAGAATTGTGTATTGATCTAATTTAATTGTGTTGTGAAACATGTACCATATAAACATTAGTAATACCAAGGCTAACATTGCATGTCGAACTTTTTTTTAATGACCCAGCCCTAAACAGAAGACAGGTAAAGTCCTAAAAAGTAAAGGCGGCCGGCATGATCTTGACTACATCACCCAACCAATGCAACTGTTCTATGAATACGGAAACAGCACTATATGCCCAGTACGAGTAAAGCCGTGGAATAGGATCGTTTACTTAACGTTGCAAGGTTAATGTGGTCAAATATGTAAACACTAAATTGTGGCTGTTACCCACAGTATCAAGTGTTTGTTTCTGGGTTAAAAGTACGCCTCTTATATGTGTCCTGGTTTCAATTACGCCTGGTATTTGTGTCCTTGTTTTAATTACTCCGTTATTTGTGTCCGTGTTTAAATTACCTGTTATTTGTGTCCTTGTTTAAATTACCCTGTTTTTTGTGTCCTGGTTTAAATTACCTGTTATTTGTGTTCTGGTTTAAATTACCTGTTATTTGTGTCCTTGTTTAAATTACCCTGTTATTTGTGTCCTTGTTTAAATTACCCTGTTATTTGTGTCCTTGTTTAAATTACCTGTTTTTTGTGTCCTGGTTTAAATTACCCTGTTATTTGTGTCCTTGTTTAAATTACCTGTTATTTGTGTCCTTGTTTAAATTACCCTGTTATTTGTGTCCTGGTTTAAATTACCTGTTATTTGTGTCCTTTTTTAAATTACCCTGTTATTTGTGTCCTGGTTTAAATTACCTGTTATTTGTGTCCTTGTTTAAATTACCCTGTTGTTTGTGTCCTGGTTTAAATTACCTGTTATTTGTGTCCTTGTTTAAATTACCCTGTTGTTTGTGTCCTGGTTTAAATTACCTGTTATTTGTGTCCTGGTTTAAATTACCTGTTATTTGTGTCCTTGTTTAAATTACCCTGTTATTTGTGTCCTGGTTTAAATTACCTGTTATTTGTGTCCTTTTTTAAATTACCCTGTTATTTGTGTCCTGGTTTAAATTACCATGTTATTTGTGTCCTTGTTTAAATTACCTGTTATTTGTGTCCTGGTTTAAATTACCTGTTATTTGTGTCCTTTTTTAAATTACCCTGTTATTTGTGTCCTTTTTTAAATTACCCTGTTATTTGTGTCCTGGTTTAAATTACCTGTTATTTGTGTCCTTTTTTAAATTACCCTGTTATTTGTGTCCTGGTTTAAATTACCATGTTATTTGTGTCCTTGTTTAAATTACCCT